TGTCGGAGGGTTCCCAACCACGCTTCCTGGAGCCCAGACCAAAGTCCAGACCTCAGAGCACTGTGAGTGAAGTCACACGCAGCCTTGGAGTGAAACGCACTGCAGATGAGTTTGCATCCATGAAGGTGCATGGACATTTTTCTGAGATGAAGCAACCATGGCAAAGGTGTCCACTATCTCCCTTATTTGCAAAGCAGAAGTCGTTTTGGGAAAGACCAACTGCCAGTTTGTTTTCAGTCATCGGCATGTCTGACCATGTTACTGCAAGTGATTCAGCAGCAGCGATTCCACGCCCTGTCAAGCAACTGGAAGCCACAGTCCAGCGCCTCAGGATGACCAGGGTCGTCTCGAGTGATGATGATTTTCGCAGGCTATCCTTATCCAGGTTCAAAACCATGGTGTTACTGGAGGTTGATGCAACCAGACTTGGGCTCTCATTATTGACTTTTGCTGGTACTCTGTGCTCAAACGAGGAACTGGGACAGATTTTCAATGATGTTTTTGCACCAAAGTCTTCTGGTACAATTCTCAAGCGTTGCAATTCCATGTGGAGGTTTTCATGTTGGCTGCAAACCAAGTTTCTGGGGTCCCCGTTCAACCAGAGCGAGGGAATTGTGTACGCCTACATTTGCCACCTCCGCGCTTCAGAGGCTGGGGCGACAACGCCAGCACAATTTGTTGAAGCATTGCGCTTTTCAAATGCCCTGCTTGGCTTTTGCAAGACCAGCCTTGATGATATGCTCAGTGCACGTGTTGTGGGTGCCTCACACTCCATATATCTGACAAAGAGGGTGCGCCGGCCGGCAGAGGTGCTCACGGTTTCTGAGGTTCAACAGCTGGAATCCATTTGTTTGCAGGATGAGTCGCTGCATCACCGTGTCATTGCTGGTCATTTTCTCTTTTGCATGATGGCAGCTGCTAGGTGGCATGATTCAATGCATGTTGTCTCCATGGAACTTTCGAAGGCAGACCACCTTTGCTTGTTGGAGGCGGCAACATCAAAGCACAAGTCGTCCCGTACCAAGGAACAGCAGAGGAGCTGCTGCCATTTACTGCACTGGGACAAACCTTGGCTGTTGAAAACTGGGCAGACTCATGGCTGAGTGCAAGAGAGGATTCATGCAGCTTTGAATGGTGCCATTTTTTGTGCTCTTGGTCCGAACATCAAGGCGATTGGGCAGACACAAAGATGTCAACCGCTGAGGCCACCTTTTGGCTAAGAGAACTGCTGGAGCCCATGGTAGGGCCAGACCGGTCGGCGGTGCTGACTGTGCACGGCCTGAAGGCCACGATGTTGAGCTGGGCGGCAAAGAGCATGTTGTTCACCCCAGAGGAGCAATTGGCGCTTGGACACCATGTGAGCTCTCACTACAAGTCTGCCTTGATTTACTCTCGTGATAATCAGATTGGCCTTTGCAAAAAGATTTATGACATGATGGACAAGATCAAAGCAGGTACTTTCAACCCTGATGGCAGCCGTGTTCAAAGGTTGCTGCAACTAACGATGGCCAGGGCCTAAGAGTTGCAGTCAGATGATGACAGTGACACTTCATCTACCTCCACTGACGCTTCAAGTGTGGCTTCATCAGAGGGGGAGCACCGTGAGCCGGAACCGTCCTCTTTCAGACGGTTGGATGCAGCAGACATTGACCGAGACCACTGCTTCATCAACACAAGATCCAGGGTCGTTCACTTGCAGCTTCTGGGTCAACAAAAATTTTGGTGTGGAAGATGTGCCTCCTCATCGTTCAGGAAGGCGTCCAGAGATGATTTAGCAAATGCTGAGACTGTGATTTGCGCCATCTGCTCACACTCTTTCAGAGCGGCGAACCCAGACGATGCAACCTAAATGAATTCGCAATCGCGACGTGTTGCGACTGTGTATTCGGACGTAAGTTTGTTGGCGCGAGCCGGTGCTTGCTCCTGCGCTCTGCCCGGTCTTTTCCACGCGTGTTCAACGCTGTCTTCCCCTTCTCCTTCCTGTACGCGGTTCTCGTGCAGCGGTGTTGTGAGCGGAAGCCTTCTTCTCCTGAGTAACTTGGAAGTATCCTGAAACCTTCAGAACAAACGAGAGGATTGTTTTTATTAACTGTTTAACTCCACTCGTTCGGAATTGGTTTCCGGTTATTTTGGGATGCTTCGGTTTTTGGAATCGTTTCCCGGTCATTGGAAACAACAATTTGGAGATCACATGTTTTTCTACTTTCCGGATTTCGAAAGTAGTTTTGAATTTGTTTATGTTGATACCACAACCGTTTTTAGTGGATCAAGATTTTCTTGGGTTGGTGCAATTTTTTAGTGTTGGATTTCGGCGGTGCCCAGTCTTTTTAAAGACTCATGGATGATTTCGATGCTGCTGCAAGTATGTGGACTGAATTGGATGGCTACGGTTTGACTGGAAAGAAACTTGCGGTTTTCAGCAGAAACGATGCAGAATCAATTGCAAGTCAACTCTGTCGCAAGCTGGGTATCATTTGTGAGGTCTCTCATGTTGAACTGGTAGGAACCTGGATAGAAGATGCCAAACGGGCCGAGCCCCTGGCGAAGCGTTTGAGAGGTGACCTGGTACAAGATCCCTTGCATTCAGTGCTGGTTGATGAACGTAGGAGTTTATCTGGTCAGAGTAGCACTGGATACAAAGGCAGAGTTGAAACGGAGTTGGTTGAAGAGTTTGGGTCGAGACCCTCCAGGAGAAAGCCGCAGACAGAGGAGGAGCAGCATGCACGTAAACACAAGGAGGCACAGCAGAAGGAGTTCTGGTCGAGAGAGTTATATCTGGAACTTAAAAAGTTTGATGCACCTGCCCTGGAACATCTTGAACACTGCGTGAGTGACCGTCATCTTCATATGGCTTTGGCGGGGCGTACAAGGTACAACACACTCAAGAGGTACGTCAAGACATGGATGGCATTCATGCAGTGGCTTACAGCGGTAAAAGGGGCGCTGGAATATCCGGTGCCTGGTGATCTGGTGGAGTATCTTTTTGCAAGATATGACGAGCCATGCGGGCCCACAGTCCCGGGTTTGATAGTGAAAGCAATAACCTGGATGGAGCGCATTGCATGTTTGGACATGAGGATGCGTGTGGGTGAGTCACAGGTGGTAGCATCAGTGCGTGACTACATAGTAGAGATGTTGTCGAGGGATGCACCCCCGACGAAAAGAGCGCCGAGATACCCAGCGGTCTTCTTGGAGGCATTTGAGGCCATGGTGGACAATGAAGGCTTGGTACTGGGTATCAGACTTATAGCATGGCTGAAGTTGGTCAAGCTCTGGGCCTCACTGCGATGGGATGATATACAGAAGATCATTCCCAAAGAACTCAAGTACTATGGGGGGCGCACGACAACAATCCTGCGTGTTACAAAAACGACAGGCCCGACAAAGAGAGTACAAGAACTGCCGGTCTGTGTGTCTGAGCATTCATTTGTGGTGAGCCCCTTTTGGTTGAAAACAGGTTTTGACTTGTTCAAGGAGCATGCATGCTTTGAGAGGGACTATTTGTTGCCAAAGTTGAACAAGGAATGGTCAGGTTTCCGTAGGGTCATGGCTACATACAATGATGTATCTTCGTACTCTGCAGTGGTGCGCAAAACCGCCAAAAGGCCGGGGACTCAAGAACCTTTGATCGACCCTGCACTGGCTGGTTTCTGGACGGAGCATTCAGAGAGAGCAACATTGCCTACTGGCCTAGCACTGCTTAGGGTGGCCAAGGAGGAACGGGACATGCTGGGTAGGTGGAAACCGGATGGCTCAGATACATACATACGCATGTACAACGGAGTAGTGTCCCGACTGCAGCAACAGTTTGCCAGGGCCTTATGCAGCGGCAATCGCACAGCACTCTTGGATGAGAGAGATATCATAGAAAGTGCAAATTCTTGGCTGGCAGATAGGTGTGATCCTATTCCATATGATCAGTTGCAGTCGATGCTTGCTCACTTGGAGGATTCACTTCAGTGCAAGGTGCAATCTGGCTGGAGGTTAGCTGAGGATGACGATGGAGCAGAAGAGCCTGTAGGACTACCCGTGGAAGTAGGTGATACACCGGTTGTAGAGAGCAAGACAAGCATTGAAAAAGAATCAAGGAAACCTTTGTATGTGGTGGTCAACAGTGGCAGGCGATGTAGGCGTTTGCATAAGAGCCAAGGTGGATGCTGGATGGGACGTGAGATGACGTTCAAGTCTTCAACAGAGTTCTTTCAGATGCCAGATGAAACCTCCTTCACACATGTCTGCAAGGTATGTTGGCCGAAGGCCAGCGTGAGGGAGGCCATTGAGGACTCCTCTTCTTCTTCATCGACGTCCAGCTCAGGTAGTGTCTCGAGCTCGGAGGACCAGGACAGCCCTGAGTGAAACCACTTGGACAGGCGGTAGTGGTATAGTTTTGATGCATTAGGCATGGATGTTTCAGTTGTTGCAGAACTTGTGCATTAGGTTTTTGCTTTTCTCTGCGTTTCGAATGTGTTGAGCCTCATGTCATGTCACTTCTGAGTGAACAAGCTCGGATGGAGGCAAGGTATCACCGGTAGGATCAGTCTCTTAGAGACCGGGATCCCGGAGGCTGGTGTGGAGAAAAATGAAGGTTCAGTTGTAGGCCGTTGCTGAGCTATGCATTGTTTTTGATAGGGGTTCAGCTGTGATTGTCAGTCATGGGAAATTTTTGGAAACAGCTCCTGGGAGGGAGCCGAGCATGGGTCCGGAAGAAAAGACCATGAACAATGGGAGAAAATAAACGCAGGCACCGGTAAGAAGTGCCCGGGTTGATCCAGAAGACTTCATGTGTACATGTCACCGGAGAGATGGCTCAGCTATCGGCAGAGTTTCAAGGGTCTTAAACAGACAGGTTTCATGTTGTTTTTTTGTGCACTATTTTGAAACGGCAGAAACGGAGCAAACTTGTTGCTTGCTGTGAAAAATTTTTCAATTGTACAAATTGATAGGCAGTACAGTTGTCTTGCTTTCATTCGTCAACTTGACATTGCGCGAGCGCCGTCGAGATGGCGGGACCGATTCCACGTGAGGAAGCACTGAGAAAGGGTGGAGCTGACCTTAGATTCACCTTGTCAAGGAATGATGTGGATGATGATCTGCAGGCTGCATTCTTTACCAATGGCATCACGACAATTCAGAAGTTTTCTTCTTTCTTCCGTTCTGAAGATGATCTGATAGAAGTCATGAGGGATTCGTTTGCAACAGATGCAGCAAATGGGTTGGAAGCACGGGCACAGCTGGCTTCAGTGATATGCGCCTGGCGGGAGACTCAGACAAAACAAAAGCGTCAGGCAGAAGTTGAAGCAGAGATGGACACACGTGAATGGACGAAGCCGATTCCCACTGGTGACTACATCAATTTACGAAATGCCTTCATGAGGGTCCATGGGAAGATTGAAGATAAAGTAACACCGTCAAAAGAATACATGGAGAAAAAGTTGCAAGAGCTTGAGAACGGTGAATTCCGTGCGGAGTTGCTCTCAGAGGTGGTCTCTAAGGATGAGGTGGATCCGGACATCATGGTGCCGATCTTTGATTCAAAGGGGGCATTGTCAGTTAAAAAGGGTTCGACAACGGTGGCACTTCCAACAGGTCCTGAACAGCTTAGGCGTCGACTGTCAGTGATGTTGCATTGCATTTTGATGCTAGCTTTGAAGCATACAAACCGTGAAGAGATTCAGGACATGAGTCGTGACACTATGGAACGATACAAGGACTACATCCTTGGTGACTACGTCTGGGGCTTATCATCAACTGACTTGCAGGGAAATCAAATCCAGACGCCACCTTGGAGTCTGGTCCTCAGTTACGAGCATGCAGTGAGGAAACGTGCTTACAGCTTGATGGTCAGTGATCATTTGAAACTAGGGGCTGCACTGGAACAGGCATGGAAATGCCCCACAACAAAGGAGAGGCATTTTATTACACCATTGGCATTATACAGCAAACGTTCAAACCCTTCCGCATCTTGGGGCGACTGGAACCCAAAGGGGAAAGGCAAGTCCAACAAGGGCTCAAGCGGCAAAGGAAAATCCAAAGGAAAGGGAGCAGGGACAGCCCCCGATGGGTCAAAGATTTGCTTCAGGTTCAACCAGGGAAAATGCAGTTATCAGAAATGCAAATTTGCTCATTTGTGCAACAGGTGTTTCAAAAAGGGACACAATGCCATGAACTGCAAGGACGACAAGCAGGCCTTGGATACAACAGGTTCAGTCTGACCGAAGGTACAGCAGAACAGCAATGGAGGGGGCACTGCGTCTTCAAAGCGAATATGCAGGGTCCTTTACATTTTTTCAGGTAGGCCTCGGAAGAATTCAGTTTCATCTTGGTTACGCAAACTGTCAAAACACTTTGGCGTGACCGTGGAGGTGGAGATGGTTGACATACAGATCAAACCCCACCTAGATATCACCAAGGAATCAGTTCAGCAGCAGTTGCTAAGCAAGATAGCGGCTGGCAGATATTTTGCAGTGCTCCTGAGCCCTCCATGCAGCACATTTACCAGGGTGACCTGGGCAAACCGCAGGGGGCCGAGACCAGTTCGATCCTTTGTGAAACTCAGGGGATTCGACAGGCTATCATGGCCGGAACGAAAAAGGGCAAATTGGGGCAACATTTTGACAGATTTCTCATTTGAGGCTTTTGAGAAGCAGATGTTTCATGCAGATGCGATGGCACTTTACGAGAACCCGGAAGATTTGGGTGCCATCAGAGCTGGAGAAAACAGGGGCATACGACCCGGAAGCATGTGGCAGTTTGAGAAATTTTCTGAGCTTTTACGTTTGGACAATGTTGACACTGCAGCGTTTTACCAAGCTGACTTTGGTACAGACTATTTGAAGCCTACAAGACTTTTGTTAGGTGGTTTTTCAGTCCTGCCGGAGCAACTAGTGGCGGGGCAACCTTGCTTTGATGACCAGGGTTTTTATGTAGGTCCACTTGCAAAGCGTTCTGCAAAGCGCCAACTGGTGGGAAACGTTGGGAGCCATTTTGCAACTAAAGGCTCAGAACAATGGCCTTCAAAGATGTGCAAGTGGATAGCAACAGCCATTTTGGAAAAATTTTCTGCCCTTCAAGCCACTGCAGTCCTTGCTGACGATGGAGATCTGGGGACTACCTCGGACAGACAGGAACAGTATAAAGTTTTACAACCAGACGGCAGGAAGCTGGCTGGAGGAGTGGGGGAACCCCGCAAATGTCAACCTCCCGGCAAGGATAGGCTTTTTCATGACGGTGCTGGACTGCTTTCAATGGGACGTTGGGATGTTGAAAACAGGATTTGGAGCATGGGAACGTTTTGGAAGCAGTTGAGGCAGGGTACAATTGCCTTAATTGAGGCGCACCTGGGCGATCCGAGAGAGCTGGATAGAGCATGTTTTGAGATGGCAGTGAAAGGTGAAGAGGGCTGCAACATAGTCCGGGATGAGAAGCGGAAGCATGAGATTAGGAAATACTGGATCTCCCTGCTTAGACAACACGGGTCGGCACAAGCGGACCTGGAACATGTTGCAGAGGGTCAACCTTTTTACCTCAGGTTGATGAAGGAGCTTTTGGCCTTTGGGGAGGACGCCGACTGTAACTTCCTGCTGCAGGGGGAGACGGGGTTCCCAGTGGGAGTGTTGAATCCACTCCCACGCACCCCGCATGCTTACGAAGAGCAAACTTCTTGGCGGTTGGAGGATGAGCCCTTCATGCAGGAGGAAGTATGGCGTTCAAATTACCAATCGGTTGAAGAGCATGTCCAGTTCATCAGGGAGCACTTTGAGGAGGAGTGCAATGAAGGGCTCATGGAAAAGCTCACCATTGAGCAGGCTAAAGAGCGATACGGTGACAGAATTGCGATTTCTTCTCTGGCAGTGCTGGTGGAAGAGAACAATCAGGGAAAGAAGAGGGTGATACATGATGCCACCCACGGGACGAAGGTGAACAACAGGATCAGATGCAGAGATAAGACTAGGAGTCCTAGTGCGAGAGAAAAACAATACCTTCTGGCCTACTTTCAAAGGAACAGAAGCTCCGTGTTCAGCCTGGTGGGTGACATCAGCAAAGCGCACAGGCGCTTCTTGCATGCGCCGGAGGAGCGGGGCTTATTGGCATGTCGCATCCTCGAATCCGACCCATTCATTTACATCAACAGAGTGGGAACCTTTGGCCTGGCATGCGCGTCATATTGGTGGGGGCGTATTGCAGGAGCTGGGATTAGGCTCACTCACGAGCTTCTGGGACCCGCCATGCCGGTGGAGCTACTCCTTTTTGCAGATGACTTGGAGGCCCTGGGGGCCAGCGCTGGTGGGAGACGAGGGATCACTTTGGCCTTCCTTTACATGTCAGTACTTGGTTTTCCTTTTAAGTGGGCAAAGCAGCGAGGTGGTTTGCGTGTGGAGTGGATAGGCCTTTTTACGGACTACACTGTATACAAGCTGGGCTTATCGCCAAAGCGGGCGCGATGGATGCGCGACTGGGCCCTGGAGCTTGCCCAGACTGGTGTTACAACCTCAAGAAGTTTTGAACAGGGATTGGGACGCCTGGGGTTTGCATCTCTGGCGTTAACATGGGAAAGGCCTTTTTTGGGGCCCATGTACAACTGGAGTGCGGCAGTGCGCAACAAAACGGGTGCTTTGCGTGTGCCGGCCATGCTTCGAACCATTCTCAAGTTCTTGGCAAGGCGTTTTGAGTCGGGCGGCGATTTGCAAAGCCCTCCTCCACTTGAGAGACCTAAAAACAGCGGCCTCACCTTCTACACTGACGCAAAGGCTACAGAATCTGGCGCTTGGATTGGTGGTTTCAAGCAAGACTCGGAAGGGAAGGTGGTTTCTTGGTTTTCAGAAGAGATCTCGCCGGAATGGGCACCTTGGCTACACCTGAAAAGGGATCCTAAAAGGATCATTGCAGCTCTTGAGCTCCTCGCGAGCTTGGTGGCAGTCAAATTGTGGATGCCTACGACAGAGGGAGCAACCGATGCAGTTTGCTGGATAAAAGGGAAGACGGACAACCAGTCCAACACATATGCAATTTCAAGATGGATGAGCACAAAATTTCCTTTGACGGTTTTTATCATGGAGCTGTCAGAGTCTTTGAGATGTGGCCGCTGCTGTTTGACACTGGACTGGATACCTCGCGAGGCAAACCAGATGGCAGACGACCTCACGAATGAAAAATTTGACAGCTTCAACCAAGAGGACAGGGTCAGGTGGGATCCAAAGTTGCAAAGCTGGCACGTGTTGGATGAATTTATGTTACATGCAAATTCTTTTCATGCTGAGATGTCAAAACGAAAGGATGAGCCACATGCACCCCAGCCAAAAGGAAAGAAGAGAAAAACATCTGCCCTTGAACCATGGTAGATACGGGCCGACCTCGGTTCCACGGGGGTTCAGGCACTCGGCGACCCATTAAAGATGGGCTGTGCTGAACGTTGGACCAGGTTGTGGTAGCCAACCATCAAACAATTATGGAAAGGAAAAAGAATTGCAATTTCAAGCATTGGTGCGTTGAGTGAAGCTGTCTGTATATCTGCACTTTTTCGTATATGGTTTTTATTTCATACCGTGGCGATAGCCTCATTAGGATTTTTACGGAGTGAGAGTTTCCGCGTTTTGGTTTTTTGTAATAAGAAAGGAATAGACAATGCGCAATTGGCACGCGTAGATCTAGACTGGGAGGGTTTTGGGTGGACCCTTTCTTACGTATCTAGTACGCAATCGCGACGTGTTGCGACTGTGTATTCGGACGTAAGTTTGTTGGCGCGAGCCGGTGCTTGCTCCTGCGCTCTGCCCGGTCTTTTCCACGCGTGTTCAACGCTGTCTTCCCCTTCTCCTTCCTGTACGCGGTTCTCGTGCAGCGGTGTTGTGAGCGGAAGCCTTCTTCTCCTGAGTAACTTGGAAGTATCCTGAAACCTTCAGAACAAACGAGAGGATTGTTTTTATTAACTGTTTAACTCCACTCGTTCGGAATTGGTTTCCGGTTATTTTGGGATGCTTCGGTTTTTGGAATCGTTTCCCGGTCATTGGAAACAACAATTTGGAGATCACATGTTTTTCTACTTTCCGGATTTCGAAAGTAGTTTTGAATTTGTTTATGTTGATACCACAACCGTTTTTAGTGGATCAAGATTTTCTTGGGTTGGTGCAATTTTTTAGCCCACCCACCCACACCTGGGGGTTCAGGCACTCGGCGACCCATTAAAGATGGGCTGTGCTGAACGTTGGACCAGGTTGTGGTAGCCAACCATCAAACAATTATGGAAAGGAAAAAGAATTGCAATTTCAAGCATTGGTGCGTTGAGTGAAGCTGTCTGTATATCTGCACTTTTTCGTATATGGTTTTTATTTCATACCGTGGCGATAGCCTCATTAGGATTTTTACGGAGTGAGAGTTTCCGCGTTTTGGTTTTTTGTAATAAGAAAGGAATAGACAATGCGCAATTGGCACGCGTAGATCTAGACTGGGAGGGTTTTGGGTGGACCCTTTCTTACGTATCTAGTACCACTTGAGGCAGTTCCGGCAGTCCATAAAGCCTGCATAGAAGATGCATTTGCTGTTGCGCTGCAGATATAAAAAGGTTCAGCTTCATGAGTCGTTTTAATGTGTTTCTCGTTGAATCGAATTTGAGTGCAACCAAGTGCATCATGTCAGACCACGTTGCAAAGTGTTATCCACGCCAACTCACACCATGTCCAAAATTGCATTTCAAACCGGATCCATCGCAGGACCAATCCACAAGAACCCGATGCCTAACATGTTTCAGTTGCATGTGGCAGAGGTCAATTTTGAGATGTCCTTGAGATTGGAATCATCCGAGTTCATTTGCAATTTCTTGGCTGAGCTGCGTGAACACCACGGCATTGCACGAAACTTTAACTTGGTACTTCAAGTTTCTTGCCAACCAATCTCAGTGTGAAAAATTTCGTTTTTGTCACACTCCATCCGACACTCAGGTGTTTTGGTTTTCCGTCTATCCTTCAATCCCCCCAAAACACAGCCTTAATTTGTTGTGAATTTCCAAACTGGCATCAATAGCCAAATTATACTTGTTCAGCTGGCCCTCCTTGGGCACCCGGTTGCGAGCTCAATGGCAATAGATTCCAAAGTTGCTTTCGCAAATCGTGCACTGGAACTTGGAATTACGGAAGCTGAAATTGATGCGCTGAAAGGAGTCAACATAACCAGTTATGCTACTTATGCTTACTGTTGCAATTTTCAACTTGGTCAAGCTGACGATGCACCCCTGACAGCTTTCTTGACCACAACGCTGGGAGCCGAGCCTTCAGCTTCAGTTGCATCGAAGTTTCGTAGGCTGTTTTTCGAAGCGCATGCACTTTCACTTGAAGACTTGAAATCTAGGGCAGAGCGATCTGAGTCCAGTGAAGCTCGGGTCATTCCTTTGGCAGAAAAGATGGATAGGATCAGGCTCCAAAAGGAGCGACTTGCTGGCATAAGTTTTACCCCGCAATCAGAGCCTTCACATGGCCTTATTGACAAGGTGTGCCAGCAACTTGATGACAACGTTGTGTCCTACATTGAACTTCAGAAATGCACTTCGAGACAAGATGAAACTTTGCATGCCAAGACAGACACTGCATTGTCTTTGGACTTGTCAGGGAGCCTGAAACTCAGCAAAAGGCAAAAGTTGGAAGATACAAACGTGACAGGTGAACACCGCCTCAGACAGGCATTCTTACGTAGGAACCTTGCCTACGACCTAGCTGGGATTGGCACCTTTTCAGTGATGGACTTGTGGACGCAGAAGCTCTTTGAGAAGATGAATGAGGCCCCTTTGGCCAATTACCGCAGTATTTCAGCTGAGCAAATTCTCAACGCTGACAAGGCTCTTTGGGTTAAGTTGTCAAACGAAACCAGAGGACAGCTTCAGCCCAAAACTGGTGACCCAAAGGCCTTTGACACAGCCTTTCAGAAGTTTTCTGAGCACCCTGAAGTACTGCAGCACATGTGTCCGTTACAGAGCAGCGCGTCGTCTAGACCCGAGCAAGGGGTGAGCTTTTCCCATGCAGCAAAAGGAAAAGGTCAACATTTCTCAGAAGGCAAAGGCAAACATGGCAAAGGCAAATCAAAGGCGCCTGGTCCTGGGATTCAAGTTCCAGACAATTGTGAGATTTTTGTCGACGGCAAACAATTGTGCAAGCGTTGGCAGATTGGACGATGCACTGCGAAGGTCAAGCCAGGAAAGAGATGCATGGTTGGTTATCATATGTGTTGGAAAAAGGGGTGCCACAAAAACCACCCGGGCAATGAGTGCCCAATCTGACACTTGCAAACGAAGCAGCAGTTGGATTTCACCCCTGCACATTTTGTGGAGGATGCAGCTTTCACCTTGCAACCAGTGACTATAGAAATTTGTTGTGGGTCAGCGGGACTCTCTTCCGCCTTAAGGCGCTTGGGTTTCCATGTCCATGCAATCGACCACGCGGCCAACCGGCACTCACCAAAGGTTAGAACGCTGGTTTTGGATGTTTCAAATCTGCAGCAGCTGCAGTTACTGGAGTCAATGATTAAGTTTGTCAAGCCATGCTATATACACCTGGGCTTGCCGTGCGGGACGTGTTCAAGAGCAAGAGAAAAGCCCATGCCAAAAAGCATGGGCGGGCACATGGGCCCTCAACCTTTGAGGGATGCTGACAACTTGTTGGGTCTGCCTCACCTTTGTGGGGCTGACCTAACCAAAGTGACCTTGGCAAACCAGCTCTACCGCGCTGCAATTGTCATTCTACAACTGTGTTTTGTTTTGGGCTGCCTGGTATCCATTGAGAACCCTGGCCGCTCCTGGCTGTGGCCGTTGCTGGCGCTCCTGGTTCATGAAACTCAGGATCAACCTTTTATTCAATGGTTTTCAAAGCTGGAGGCAGTTTATTTTGATGCTTGTGCGCATGGCAGCTCAAGGGACAAACGCACTAAACTGCTTGCCACGAGCGACCTTTTTTCCACCCTGGCGATTGACTGCTCTGGGGACCATAAACATGCGTCCTGGCAACCTTTCCGTGGCAAGCATGGCGTTGTTTTTCCAACAGCGATGGAGGCTGAATATCCTCCGCTGCTATGCAACCGTATGGCTGAATGTGTGCGACAGTCAGCAGCAAGCATGGGTGTTATCCCAAGCCTTCAACCACGCTTGAAGGAGCTGCTCAACCTGAATTTGGGGCATCAGACCTTGCGGCATGAGCCGTTGATTCCAGAGTATGCAACGGTTTTTCAAACAGATGCTCCCGTTCAACATGAATCGCATAAACTCCTGTCAGCTCCTTTTTCACAGGGGCACCATAGCACTGAGCAGCCAGAAGGAACACAGGAACACAAGTCAAAGAGACCGAGAAAGGAGTTTAAATATGGGGTGTGGCATACACCCGAACAGTTCCTGACTAGAGCTGAAGCTGTTGTTCACCCCATGGACAATGAATCCTTTTTGCATGAAGCTACAAAGAATGCTATCAAGAAAGTGGTCAGAACTGACCCTCTGGTTTTGGCAAAGGAGCGCTTGGCCACCGTTTTCAACCTGCGTAAATTGACAAACGAACTGAAGTGCCAAGAGTTGGCACTCAAGGACACAATGCACCCAGATGTCAAAAGATGCACAGCGTCCAAGAACATCCTCCTTTTCGAGCACGTCCTCAAACAGCTTGGCTTTTGGGATATGGAGGTTGTTTCCCTGTTGAAGCAGGGAATTCCCCTGGTGGGGTTGCAAGCGGCCCCTAATGGATACAGAGAGCAGCTGGTGCCAGCATCCATCACAGAGGACGAGTTGCTACAGTCAGCGGCTTGGAGACGTAAGTCTCTGATGTGTCAATCCAAGCGCTTCAAACCTGAAGAGGAAGCCGCTCTCCTCGAGACCACGGCTGAAGAAGTGGCGAAGGGTTTTTTGGAGGGGCCGTATTCAGAACAGGAAATTTCCGTGTAAACTGAGGACTGGTCCCTCAGCCCGCGTTTTGCCCTCTTCCAGGGAACTGGCGGCAAAATCAGAGTGATAGATGATGCAAAGAAGAGCTCGGTCAATGCAGCTTACAGTTCCACCGTCAAGTTGCAGCTCCAGGATGTGGACTATGCGGCTAACATGGTCTTGTTTTTGATGTCAGAATCGGCGGCAGCCGGCATTTCAGGTGATGAGTGGATGGGCAAGACCTTCGACCTTAGCAAGGCTTACAAACAACTTGCCATTCTTCCTGCCCACCAGAAACATGCGGTGGTAGGATTTCCTGTGAGTGGCACCTGGAGATTCTATCGAAGTATCTCCCTTCCTTTATAGTGACTCGGCTGCTATCTGCAGTATCAAGCCATTATTTTGATGACTTCCCCACTTTGGAAAGAGCCCCAGGCTGCAGGGTGCTTTCTCTTGCGTTCAGCGCAGTGCTGGACATGCTGGGTTGGGGGCATGCAAAAGAGGGCGATAAAGCGTTGAACTTTGCGGGTGCCTTTGACTTGTTGGGCGTGAACTTCAACCTTGCTTGGACTCCAAAGGGGATCTTGCAGGTCACCAACAAAACTACGAGGATCGAAAAGCTATGCGCTCTTTTGGACAAGGTCAAGAGCGAAGGAGAGATCACTGCGGCACAGGCCAGTGAGTTGCAGGGTCTTCTTAACTTTGCCATAGGTTTCTTTTCTGGGAAAGCCCTGAAACACTTGGTAGCAGCCTTCATGCCCTATGCTGACCGCGTTAGCCTCTCAAAGTCCGGGGAGCTCCAAGACCTTTGTGCGTATGCCAAATCTATGCTGACTTCTTTGGGCCCGAGGACTCACTCAACCACAGGTGAAAGAAGGCCAATACTTTTGTTCACGAATGGTGCTTGGGAAGATGGCCAAGCATCTGCAGGTGCCATTCTGGTTGATGGAGATTTTCGCATTGGGTGCACCATAACTGTACCCGACGTGCTGGTTGCCCACTGGTTGAAGCATGCAGGTGAGCAAATCATCTCTCAGATTGAACTTTGGGCCCTCGTAGCAATCAGATGGCATTTCCGTGAGCGACTTGAAAGCCGAAGATTAATCTCTTGGATCGACAACGAAGCTGCAAGAGTTTGTGCAATAAAGGCGTCGAGCCCGTCGCCAACCATGAGGGCTCTCACGAGAGTTCTGGCAGACATGGAAGTGGCATGGCCAGTTTTTGCTTGGACGGAACGCGTATGCTCATTCTCCAATCCTGGAGATTTGCCATCGCGACATAAACTGAGTGAAGCCATGCGTCGCTTCAATGTTTCTGACGGGGGCATTGTGGACGCCACTGCCGAACTTGCCACAACAATAGTTGGACTCCATGAACGACCTTTTAGTGCTGCTCTCCTTTTCCACAGGGGCACAACACCTGAGCACCAAGCACGAAATGCCAGCTGA